CCCTGGTAAGTAATCAATACTTGACTAGTAATCAGTTACAGTGGAGCCCCGTTAATATGACAACCTTCGGGCCATGGAAAATTGGTTGTATTAACGGGGTGGCTATATTAAAGGGGTTCTTTAAATAAGAAAATGACTGACTGAGGTTTTGTTCAGGCCAGAATAAAGTGGCCAAAATAACAAGGTGGTCGTATTAACGGGGTGGTCATAAGGCGGAGTTCCACTGTACATTAGGCCTGGACACACCTCATACAATTGTCTAAACTGCTTGTCCCTCAGCATTCGATTGTAATGCAATTGTTTTATCTCTTGGTCCAGCAATTGCTTTTCATTTTCAAGGAAGGCTGGCAGCTGGGTGGCTTTGGCAAAAGACAACTGTTCACTCTCTGAAATGCAAATTAATCATAAAAAAATTAATGTTATTGTCCAGCAGAAGATGACTAAGTTAATTGTGTCACATTATATAGTACATGGAAATGGCGCCTTAGTTAATACATTATCCAGGTAAAGTTCTGGATTAATTACGTACATGCACATGTAATTACAAGTGTTCATGAATGCACAATCATACTGCAGGGCTGTCAATAAGGGCCGCAACCCATAACAGCTACTACTGCTGAATATGTTTGATGGGCCCTTGATGCTGCAAGTGAACTTGGCTGTAGTTGATGCAAATCACCCAACAAGAAATAAGTTTACTGCAGGTGTGAAGATCAAGGCTACAGGTGAATCAAAACTTAATGACAGTCCTGTATTGAAGACTATCTGATTCAAAATAGCTGCCACAGTGGCCTACCAAATTCCACACAAAGGGATCTAGCTCACTATGTTGTATGCTTGCATTACTCTCTGTATTCTATACTAAATGACTCTCTCGCCCAGTTGGTGTATAAATCGATACGGTAACCAGAAAATATGTTAGGATGATGTATCTTGTGGTTTAAATTTATCTTTGCATGGTTAAAAATGTTTAGTTTGAACTTTTTATTGTGTAATTTTCATTATAATAATCTAGTAGGAACTCAAAACCAACCTGGTTTGAAAAATTAATAAGAAAACTAAAATTTTAAATAAAGAGATTTTAAACAGCATATACCCAAGTGCATTGATCCACTTACAGGAGGTTTCACTGTAAACTGATTGATGATTAGAATCAATGTAAATATATGCAATATAAATATCAGATAAATCTGATATTTATATTACCTGCCTGCTTTGCTGGTTTGTGAAAACTTGCCAGCATCTCACATTTGCTCCTCAACCTTGACTCCAGCTCAGGAATGATGTTCTGTTGAAAGGACTTAAAAAGCAAAGAGACAAAATAATGTCAGTTTTACTGCTTGAAAAGTGTGATAAATCCCCAGGAAACAAAAATCAAACTGAACAAGAAAATTAAATGAGATGAAGCTTACTTGGTGTATGGACTTCTTCTGATGTTCTCCAGACAACAGATGTTCTGCTTTTAGTCCAAGCAAGGTTGCAGATTGTTCACCTCCTTCAGGATGGAAATCAAGGTAGTCCAGAGCCTCTGCCTGGGCTAGCGATACTTTCAAGGCTTCATATAGCTGTTGATTTAGGGCAATATTAATAGAAAAGAACTTGCTAATCTCCATCAGTGTTAATTAGTTATTCTGAAACTATAACTTGTTAGAGGCGTGGTGGCTTAATCATTAGACGGTGTGGTCTAATGCCGGTAAAGAGCTCTTGGGATTCAGGTCTGGCTGGGTTGTAACTTGTTGCTGTGAACATTGAGTTCTTGGGAGAAACAGTTTGGTCTCATCTCTTCTCAGCCTAAGGTACTAGTGCATACTGGGGAATTGTCAACACAAGTCAGGCTACTTTGTGTTACACAACCATGGGTGAATTCAGGTTTTTATATGCAAAGGAGCACTTGTTAACGGAATGCTAAAGGTATGAATCAAGTATTATTTTTGTACATGTACATGTAGCTTTTACAGAACAAGACAGGAACCTTACAGGGGATGCTCCCTAATTCATTCCCCCTGACTTGCCTATAAGAAACTAATCAATTATCAACTAGTTCAAACATCATCCTCCTGATTCACTAGGATCCAAAAACACCTTATTTAATTATTATGACTAGTGCTTCATCAATGCCTTCTCTTTACTCCTCTGACCTGTTGCGTGATTGAACTGGGATGAACTTCTTGCTTTTTCATGTCATACTCTATCAGCAGCTCCTTTAGTTCTGAGTACAATGTCAGAACCTGGAGGTACTTCAATTTTTGTTCCCTTAGTGTATCTCTAGCCTGTTGATTAAAATAATACGAAAGAAATGAAGGTTAAAAGATCTTGAAAGTTAGAGTAAAGTTCTGAGAAAATAAAGACCACTAACTAAACAAGTTCGAGGTCTGTACTGTAAGTTACGGACCAAGTTTTTGCCCTTTTGATTTTTGGACCAAGTGCGGAGCATGCCAGCCATAAATTGAAAGGAAAAAAATGAGGATCTGTAACTTACAGTACAGACCGAGAAGACAAGGTTAGTAAGATATTTCTTATATTTCCACTCTGTGTCTGTGGGTTTGGGAACGATTTCTATTCACGCAGAATGGCTTCAAATTTCTGTTGTATGTCAAAAGCAAAACGTGTCAATTCAAAATCATTGTTAAGTTGTTAGCACATGTTAATACACAATTTAAAATAACAAAGTTTTAAACTTTCGCTTGCTAAAAAAGTTACGAACATGTTGGCAATAAATCATGAGACATTTGGAAATAAACACACCTTTAAATTTTTGCTGGCTGTACAGTAGAATATGGCCTGCTAAATTAACTAAACACAGTGCATATAGTAACTTTGAGATATAATAAGCACAAATATTGATACACTTTTCATGTTAGTAGTATTAAGTGTTTTACTTTTAATTGATAATGGTCAGAGATCTTGGGAGTATATGTAATAAGCTTACTTTCTTAAAGAAGCCATTACTACTACTAATTTGTTACACTCTGGTACATACAAGCCAGCGATCAAAGTGAGAGAAAGCGCAGTTTTCTTTCTCTCTTTCCCAGCTTGTAAATTGTGGTTGCTCATACATGTAACTGGGTAAGAAACCGAAAGAAGAGGGCCTGCTTGCAGCTTAACTGGTGTGGGTAACACTAACCTGTGCCATGTCTTTGTGGACTACAGCTGACATCCCATTTTCTGTCAAATGCCTTGTTAGAGATGTCAACAATTTTGCAAATTCTGGGTTTTGCTGCACATTTGAAGCTGTCAAATGGACTGGCAGGCTGTTGTTTACTGAAGAAACAAGTAGTTTGAAATTAATATTTCCTGGAAAATGTTTCCTACATGTATATTGCTCTAAAATAATTATTATCCACTCAATGGCTGCCAAATATGACAAAAATTTGAAAGAAAGTAATTCTGTATCAATTTATGTATTGATCAAAATTTAATATGAAATTAAGACAAATCAACTTCCCACCCCCCACTCCCAGCCGACCCCATGTGGTGAGAATTTGTAAAATTTTGACATCAGTGGTTAGTACCGGGATGGGGAATTTTACACTATTATGGGATGCTAGAGGAAAATTTGAACTAGTTCTCCCAAAATCATGATAGAATACATGTTCATGTACATGTATATGTAGCTAGAAGATCAATATCAAAGGATAACCCTGTTCTTTTGTAACATTGTGGATCGAAAAGAAGCATCTTTATAAACTTTGTGCTGTGTAGGAAGGTAAATTAATATAGTTCTGCTTGTAACAAGGGACACAGTGGAAGTTCAAAACTTGGGTTCGAGGGTGTTTTGTTGTTGTTTTCCATTACAAACTCATTTTTTAGGGTGTCTGGAAAAAATGAATAGCGAATAGTGAATAGTCCCGAATAGTGAATAGTCCCGAATAGCGAATAGTACGAATGGTGCAAATAGTCTCAAATAATGCAAATAGTGACGAACAGTCTCGAATAGTGGCGAATAGTGGCAAACAGTGGCAAATCGTAGCAAATAGGGTACCCAGTATCTCGCAGTCAACCTCACAGCAACGTAGGACAGCATTTTCCCGCTAAAAACCACAGACGTTTATCAGGACAAAAGGTTTTTCTAAACGTATTATTTCTTCTGTTTTAACTGTTGCAACAGCGTAAATATGTCTTTATTAGGTTATTCTTGTGTTTTCTGTTTTCTTAATGTTGGCGATGGACGGCCCTAGCATGAGTCTGGAGAAGAACAGGTGATAAATTCACTGAAATTCTGTTGCTTATTTGGGTAATTAATTAATGGAGGATATTAGATCTAAAGTGGTGACTGTTGATGACTATTCGTCACTATCCGCTATTCGGGTTTTCCAGACACCCCATTTTTTACCATGTATCTCCTGGGGGTATGGACATCTGATTATTTATGACCCTAAGGTGGAGCATTTGAACACGACGTTTGGTCGAAGGGATGGGAATTTAAACATCCAAAAGTGCCCCAGGGGTTGCCAGGGGAGGTGTTGAGATTTCAAACTGTTTGGAGTTGACTAGTACTGTTCATAATGTGAGGTGTGATACATGATGCTTACATTATATTTATCAGTTATTGTTGATGCTGACAAATTAGTTCTGTTAAGTTTTTTCTTAAATATGGGCCAGCCTGGCCAATTCAAATTTTATACTTATTAAGCCTGCATGGTAATTAAGGTCATTCCCCAGTATTGCATTGCGCATCCATACTACGCATAATTTCACGCGTGATTAGCGTCTGCGCATTAAAAAATGGCGGCTTTTTGTTTACAGCTGGACCTCGCCATAGAGGTAAATCGTCATTTTCTCGCAAATGAGAATGATGACCTATCACTTTTTTCTGTTGTTTTGAATTGAGTAAGAAATTTCTCTGTGTAAAATAAATATGGACCAATTCTCAGTGTAGAACAAAAAGCAATCGTCAGAAACGTGAATTTAGCAAGCGATCGTGACTACAATCATGGTGCTATTATAAGGATTTATATGGGTATAAACAAGGTGCTGTTGCTCCTAAACGAACATGGGGACCCCTCATTTTTATTTCAAAATTTAAGTTCCTGCAATATAAACAATCAATAGGCAAAGTTTCACAAAAATCTCAGTGCAGGTTCAATTTCAGTGGAATGACCTTAAGCACTGAATTAAGCCTACATGATGTACATTTTTGCGGTGCAGCAAATACCCTAGCTGTCATGAGCTGATAGTTTGCTGATGTGGGTGGAAAAGAGACACCCGATTACGTCAGTTCTATCTGCCACCGATCAGCTGATGAATTGATTTAAATGATTAGTGCCTTACGTTGCAAGTAAAATTAGAACTAAGCTTTTCAATTTAAGCTTAGGTAAGACTTTTGCAATAATTCAACCGCTAACCAAAGACGAAACGAACACTCACATTTATCCGCTGTTTCCTGCGCTGAAATCATGCTTCTCTTAAAGATTCTTCTTACAATCTTTAGTTTCTGATCATATCTAGGGCCTATATGATTGCAGGATCCAAGAAGATCATCAAAACACGTTTTGCTTCCTTCGCTTCCGATCTGCCGCCATTTTCCTACACACCAAAGCGAGGCGTTGTAATGATTTACTTTTACTTAAAAAAGCAATTCTAAAATTAACTATGATTGGTCAGATTTTTTAATTAGCCAAGCAGGGCCCAATCAGGTAATATTTTACATAATCAGCTCAATGTGTATGATTCTTTAGTCTCAACCATCTTGTCTTATGAAATTTTACTTATTTATTCTTCTCTGTCAAGGTCTGGTTTCTTCTAGTCAAGCTTCTTTGTTGTCTCAGGTAAGATTACTGCATTCTCTACCTCTGCTACTTAGTAAAGTAGTTGAATACGTTATAATTTTCTGTAACAGAAGCTTATTATTTGCGGTATGTTTTTCCTGCAGGAAGTAGCTTACAGCTTAGAGAACTTTCCCAACATGAAAATTAAACATCAAATAAAAGTGAATATGGTTTTACTAGTAAAACTCTACCTACATGCATGGTAATGTTTCGTTTTAAAACCACGTACCAAAACAGCTAATCTTTCTAATTGTTTCAAATATCAGGTGCTTTAGCGGGAATTAACCCAAAAAAAGTTGTCGGTCAGAAAATGTATCGCTAGAAAATGTTTACATTTTATAATTTGATGTTACTGTATAATTTTTCGGGATATATAACAGCCCACCTTTAAAGTGTAGTTTTAGAGAGAATTTTAAATGGTTAATGCTAAGTTTGTGTGATAATACATATGCAAGAAATATTTGATTAATATCAGTTTACCAGTCCCACCTGCCACACTGGAGAATAGATTTTAAGCATAAAATCATGTGCTAAATTTAGTTTATGATGGTTGTGTGACTATAATGAGATTCGATCATGTGATCTATGAAATTACAGGGACTGGTTCTGTACACCAATAATAATAATTATTGGTATGTTTAATGCTATATTATACATTGTAGTTACCATGTATCTATTCGTTGGCTAGAAGCTTACAGTTAATTTAGGGAAACAGCACAACCTACAGATTATTCACTAATCTGCTAGCAGATTAGTGAATAATCTGTAGGTTGCACGTGCAATGCATGATTTCCAAGAGCAATGTCAAGTTCATGGACAGCCAAGTAAGAACATGGCTTGTCGAAAATAAACTGTGTTCGGTTCGATAATGCATTTATCGTTACTATAACACAGTGATCCATCTAGAAAAAGGCGGTAGTGAGTCCAGGGATTCACACAGCCAAAAACCTGTGAGTCCCACACACAGGAGTGTGAGTCCCACACTCATCATTATATGAGTTGTACCTATGAATAACACATACAATTAAATGAGCTTTGTAGTTTATTAGTTACATTCAGCCTTTGACATACAAATCACGCATTTTCTCTGGGCTTCCTCGAATGACTTTCT